GTTGCTTTATTTGTGAACTTCTGACTAATCTTAAAATTAGAAGTGGGCCTGAAGCAGAACCTTTCCCCACCTCCACACATCTGTACAGCCCTGAAGACCTGCAGATACCCACTTCATGTCCACGGGTATCCACAGATCGTTTCTGCACATGTGGATGTGGCTATCACCAATTTGTATTTGCGTAGGGCTCCACACATCTGGGGAGAATTTGTGTCTGGATCTGAACTTTGTGGTTGGGGTTGATTTCTACTTAAAATGTACAATAATAATGTTGGGTCTCCTTCCTATTAGTGGTGGCTTATAACTTGAGAGTTTTCATCAATGTCAACTTGCAGTATCCAAGCCATTGTACATATAAGGTGCACTTCCAGGTGGGGAACATGCAGTTTGGTGTGACCGTGTCGCTGCATCTAAATCCCGTGGCCAGCACAATGAGGCGTGGCTTTAAGACTGAGAACTATTAGCATTTCTGGCATCTGCCACCATGGTTGGATCTGTTTGTTCAGAACCATTTTCCAAGGCAGCCACTGACTTTAGGCACCAGTAGCCCCCTAGCTACCGAGTGACTCCAAGTAGCCTGTAAAGAGCTGGAGCCAAATGAATCCCATGTGTACAGTTCTAAAAGCGACCTCCTCCCAGCCAGCTTTATGTGCCTTTTATGGGTCTTAGGGCACTTTTTGCAAGAGCACAGGGTATAACCCAGTGTCGTTAACTTCACTTCTTCTCATTAACTCTGTCCAAACTGAATTCCTGCTAATTACATTCTCCTTTAACCAGCATTGTCCCTCTCAAGTGAGACTTGCCAAAAAATTGTCTAGTGGATTTATATGCCTGTGGAGTGGGTGTTTGAATCCTCCATGCAGCCATACAAACCTCAACCCAGTATAGTCTAAGCCAGTATAGCCAAGGAAACAACCCCTCTGACGTACCCAGATCATTAAAGATTTGAGATTCCTACCACGGGGTCATATTCTATAGCCCTCCCAGTGACTCAAAAGCATGTGTCCTTACACTGAACTATTAATGAGTTGTTTGTTATCTCTTGCTATTGTAGGGAGACCCTGGAATGCTTGAAACATGTGAGATAATCCACAGACATGCTGTACAGAAGTAGTCACTGCGTATCTGCATTCCTTCCAACTAGGATTCCATCACTCTCTTTTCCACACCA